TACCACTAAATATAATAATTTATGTAAAAAAAATTTGAAACAATATATGTAGCTTTAGCGAGTTATAAAAAAATTCCCACCAATAACTGTCATTTAAATCATCTCTGGAGAAATTAAATTTTAATGATTGATTTATCAGTGATAGAGTTTCATACTTTTAAGAAGTAATTATTGCAAATTTGCTTAATTTTTATCCAATGCAAATGAAATTTTTATTTTAATCCGCAATGCTATACCACAGTGTTTCCCAAACTTATGACTTTTGTGTACGCTTTTGTGCACGTTTTTCGTAACGCTGTGTACCACTAATAAAAAAATGAATGCATATTTTACCATAAAAAATTGCATAAGAGTTAAAAATCACAGCTGGCTGTTGACACCATTAATTATTAACTGTTAACTCCGCAAAAAATAGCCAATAGGAAAATACGTAATCGTAAATTTTCATGGCTAGTTTTATTTTTAAATAAAATATTTTGAAATTTTCGTTTGTTGCAAGATATTTTGCTTAAGAACGCTTATCCCAGCTAAACTGTTCTCGTACCCCTGGAGGTACGAGTACCACACTTTGGGAAACACTGCTATACGACAATAAGCGGTTCATATGTCATTAATTTCTTTTAAAAAATGCTTGCCATTCAGCGTGTTAATCTAACCTAAGAAAGAAACCTTTCCCAACTGGTAAGAAATTAATGAATATTTCAACATAAAATTATGTACATATGTGTGTATCAAAAATACTAATAACTAAGTACGTATTTAATCTTTATTTTATTTCATTACGTTCTTAAATTTGCTTCTTTAAGCATAGGTCTTTTAATCTAATACAAAAAGAATTATCTCCAGAAGTGGAGAGCCTCCTGAAATACGAAGCAGTGCTGAGCTTTTGGAGGGCAGAATAGTTCCAAAAACGATGAAAGCTGTAACAGATTTGGTGTTACCCTGCTGGGTGCATTACAAAGAGGCTTGTCACACTACCCCCCTATATTTAATTCATTGTATCGTATAGTTATTGCATTGCATTCTTAATTTTAAAAGGTTTCGCAGAATTTTCTCCTTATACGTATTATACACAACATTAACCAGCCTATTTAATATCTTGTGAAATAGTTAATTAATAATTTTTATAATATATGTATATTTTGTAATGCATACAGTCTGACTGGGCTCCTGAGACCAAGAATGGCCTTTTCCCATTCATCCTTAAATGAGAACTTATGCAAAAAAACCAAAAGACAGATTACATAAAATGCGACAAATAATGGCACTTCGCCATGGTAATAAATAACAAATAATTGAATGTATAGAAAAAGTACAAGACATAATAACAAGTAGGGGAGCGATATTTACAAAATTTGAGAAGAATTAGCAAATATTCAAGATCAGACATATCAGGATCATAGCCATTATAGTATACCGTCCCGATTAAACACCACACGTGTCGGGCTTCTTTTGACACTAAAAGTTACTTTTTCGCAAATGTACAACAGCAAAAATTTAGAATTATTGATAAAATATTTTTATTAAAAAAACTGGTAGCTTTAAAATTTTTTAACCTTGAGCTTCACAAGGCTTGTCACACTACACCTCTATATTTAATTGTATCGAAGAGTTATTTCATTGCCTTCTTAATTTCAAAAGGTTTCGCAGAATTTCCCCCTTCTCTTCATTGGTGGTAGGTTAATTACTTATACGTATTGTACACAACGTTAGCAAGCCTATTTAATATCTTGTGAAATATTTAATAAATAATTTTTGTAATATATAATAAATGCATTCAGTCTGGTCTGACTGGTTTAGCTGGGCTCCTGAGGCCAAGAATGGCCCTTTTCCCATTCATCCTAAAATGACAACTTATACAAAAAACACAAGACAGATTACATAAAATACAACAAATGGCGCTTGTTAAGGTAGAGAAAAAAGAATGGCACTTTGCCATGGTAATAAGCAACAAATAATTGAATGTGTAGAAAAAGTGCAAGACATAATTACAAGTACCTCCTATATCAGATACCCTCCACACGGTTTTTCATAAGTAGTCCGCGCAGACTATTTAAAAAGTGAACCGGTTGTGCGCATGAATTTTAAAAGTACTTGAGAAAACTTTATTACAGATATTTGAGAATTGAATCTGTAATATGGTATACAAGTCAAATCAATTGTATTCATAAATTAAACAAATTTTTTGACTTTTATTTGCTACCACTTTCTTATTTTTACTAGATTTTCTCTTAATGGGCCTTTTCGTATACAATATCTTCATAATGGTCTGATCGAACTGCCTATAAAAAATCGTGTGGAGGCTTTCAGTTGTAGAAGGCGTTGTATTTACAAGAAGAAGAATCATATACCCATACCTGCCAACTCTTCCGGAAGATTTTATTTACCAAATATGAGAAGAATTAGAAATTCTGTTTAACAAAATAGAGATCCGACCGTCCCGATTATTACGCTCGTGTCGGGTTGCTATGATTTTTGATAATAGTCAACGCACTTCGCGATCATCAGTTGAAATTTAGAATAAATAATAAAATATTTTTATTTAAGAAAGTGGTAGTTTTAAAAATTTCAAATTATTGTTTTAGTATTATATTGTTTATTATTAGAATTTTATAATTTTTATGTTCATAATTTCAATATGAAATGCAAACTGGAATTCTTGCTAAGTATCGTAATCGTAACTAGTACCTAAATGAAATATTGGATAAGTAACTTCACAACGTTGGACTAGTGCAACAAATATTAGGAGGAAAACGAAGTAGGACAGCTTACCGACAGTTAATCGATACGACAGAATTGATATTTATTCTTTACGCATAATTTCTTATATATAACTTTGATTTTTGCTATTTTTTTAACATAATACAAACCCAGAGAATATCAATATGTGAACTATCTTAAAAATGAAAGAATTTGTTTTTATTAAAATCTTTTAAATACAGTGACACGGCGGATTATATTAGTAAACCATTTGAGGAACAGCAAATTTCGACTGAAAATTTTCGTCAAGTAGGACTAAATCACGTGCGAGTTCAGACACGGGGATGCCACATGCAACGAAAAATATAAAAGTGGTGATTAATGAAAATCCAAAATCTATTAAAAAAGTAAATAAAAATTAGCAAGTTTATCTAACATACTTCTCTCAGTATACTGCTGAAAGTGATTTTTTGAGACTTGGAGTTAGACTGAGGTTGTGTACGGACTCCGTCATCTACTCTAATCAGGTCCTTAGGCAACTGAGATAATGGCATTAATAGTGGTCATCGTAAGAGAAATAACGGATGCTATAAGGTGAGTTTAGTTTGTACTATTGTCTATCATCTAAGTTAGGAGTGAATTAGGTTAGGAGAAATTAGTTAAGGCTAAGTTAGGAGAAATTTTTAAGCTTGGAAACTAAATGGACTCAAAACCACATTAAACATAGTGCTTAATGTAAACATCATGGAAAGATTAAAATATATATATCTATATTTTTTTGATAATCTAAGTGAGAAAAATATTATGGAAGGGTGAAACATCATAGTATATTCCCATACATTTGAGCAGAGGAGGAAAGGGAAGGCTCAAGACATGGAATTGGTCATCTCCCCTGAGGGCATATTCGAGTGTTGCGATAGCGAAAGGGTTAAAGTACTATTTTCATAAAATTGAGTTGAATCACAGAAGGTCTAATGTGCCATCCCGAAAAAATCAAGATATCCCACGCAAATCAAGATATCATATCTCTTTTAGCAGTAATTGACACTAGTGATGACTGGATTTATTTCCTAAGATCTTACGCGCAAAAACATTGTATTGAAAGTCGACGTAATGATTTGGACTTCGACGTACTATTGAAAACGAACAATGATAATCAAGATTAAATATCCCCTATCTGAACATCCAGTAGCTTGTTTTGTCACTTCACGAACATACATTCCAATGACTATTGCTTATACTTTACGCAATGTTTCGTAAGTCGAAAGTATTTCAAAGTATTAACGTCCATTGCGTATGATTTTAAATGTTTTTGAACAAAAACAATTAGATTGCAAAACTATGAAATTAAATGTATACAAATATAAAATTTTGAGGGAAAATTAATTTCTTAAATTAGTTATTTTTAACCTACTATTACATTCAAAACCCGATTTTCTTTAGTCTGTACTATTACGCTCATTTTGGTGGATGCAAATCTGGGATGAGTAAAAAAAAGACAGCATTTCTATAAGCTTCACGTATCATCTTTCAAATTGTGTCAGCAGCTTTGATATGTAAATTCTTCTAAAATATTCACCGCTAATTAAAAAAAAAACTGTTTACAGATAGTCCTAAGAGAATTGTTTCCATATTCCCTTCATATTATGAAACACAAACTTCTACAATTTAATAATATTAGTCCCTAAATACGATTGTCAATGCCAGCTACTAAAGCCGACATTATTAGAATAACATATGGATCCTGATTCTCACGAAGAATTACATAATTTTTTTTTATATAATACATAATTTAAAATAAAAACTGGTATGTTAATCTTTAATTTTTTCATTATTTAGAGTTTCGTATTTGATTTTAATTTTAATACAAAATGCATGTCATTATTTGCTACACATTACAAATTAACTCATTTTTTCCTTTAAAAGTACTATTGTTTTAAGTTTAAATATTTGCAATAGTTAATAATTGGAGCTCAACATTTTCTTTTAATGAAACAAATGTTAAACTTCCTCGTAAGTTTACAAGATTTTAAAGTTCTGTGTACTATATCACAAAACAATATCTATAATAACTAAATCATATTCTTAAATTTATACCATAATAAATTTTTTATACAGAGTATTTCGTAATGACCACCCTTGATGTATATTTTAAGAAACTTGTCATAAATGAGGTTAAAAAGTACACATAACAGGAACGCTAAAATAATATTTAAATGATGAAAGAAATCTACTGAATCTCCATTGAGGAAGGCAGGATCAGAAACATCAAAACATGTTTGATAACTGGACTAGGCAAAGACAGGTTGAAAAGCGTTTATTAGAAACAATTCCAAATTTCATCGGGCAATAAAACTGGTTTTGGTGTTTTCATCCCTTTATCTTAAGAGGCCCTTCTTCTCCCGACCGATCTCAACTGTCGAAGGGGTGGAGCAACACCTCCTAGAAAAGAGAAAACCTCAGCACGGATCAATTTAGTAGGTCGACGTAACGAATATAATTTGCGCAGTGCAGAAAAAAAAAGAAGAAAAATGTCACTACTTTTGGGCTACTTAGTTTTATTTTTTATATTTTTTATTTTACAACCGTCGTTGAGCAGCAGACCCAATATTGACTTACGATTATTAATGTTCAGCTCCGTATCCTTGTAATTTTGAACCCATTCCAGTAGACAAGTGAACTCCTGGATCAAGTAATAGGAGAAATTTGCATTCTTGGCTGACTTTTTGATGGAACTAACCCGCATTTGCGTTACAAGGAGAGAGAAAACCACGAAAACCTCCCGCGGTTAGCCTAACGACAAGGTGGAAATATTTTACGTTAGCTTTGAAGGCGATGCAAGCCGGATTGGGCTACATAATTGAGCAATGGTGGAAAGTACGAAAGATGTCATTACATTTGGACTATTAAAGGATCAAATTTCTTGTTTATGGTTTCTCGTGCAGAGGCCTTCTATCTTCAATGAGGTATTGGGAGGGGGGAAATTCTAAATATCCTTTTAATCCTTTTCACATAACTTTCACAAATAAGTCGATGATGGATATTTACTCTATTTGACGGTGTCTTTCGATCTATGTAAAATTTAAGGCCGTCATCCAATCAGAATTTGAGATATAAAACATGTGGTATTTCGGATTCTCAATAAATTTCTTCTGGCGAAGTTATGCAAAGACGATTTTGCAATCAATAATCTTTGAAAGATATTTAAATTGTTAACAAACAGTTATTAGTTTTTAGATTTTTGATAAATATCTTTATTTTTATGCAATTAACATTAAAGGAAATTTTTGCAGTCATCCATATCGGTTTTCCTTAATTTTAGCCGTAGTAAGTTTATGTTTTGAATAAATTCTAAAACCTGAGAAACAATTTTTACTCACTCAGGACCACAAATAGCATCATGTTATTATACTTTAAAGTCCGAGTTTTTTTAAAAAAAAAAAAAAAAAAAAAAAAAAAACGGTAGGTAAGTAAATCATGTAAAATATGCATTCATAAAAAAGAATGAAAGAATGCAGGAAATTAGAAAGTCTTCTTTTATGCCACTAAAATTTTAAAAAATGTTTTTTTAATAAAATTTTATCCAAGACAATATCTTAAATTGAAATTTTTTTCTTACATTAAGTTCTGTTAGTTCTGTCATTTATTGTATTTTTTTTTTAAATGGCGGGCACTTCGAACTATTGTCCATTGACCACAGAAAGTGCCAGAACTGCTAACTCTCTTTTCGTTACCCAGTGGGCACCTGTGGCGAAGTCACACTACCACAACCCGTTTATAGGGCGGGTCACATTCACACACAAAGGAGAAAGGACATAGAACACAGATAGAGAGAAGGAAACACCCATGCCTTGCCCGGGATTCGAACCCAGAACCTTTCTGATGTGAGGACAGTTCCCTGCCCCCTACACAGGCCGGTCGGCTTTATTGTAATTTCATTTTATGTATTATTTACAGAAGAAACAAACACAAGAAATATTTGGGTTATCCGGCAGGATGCGAGATCGCATGGTCCATTATGGTAACCATTTATGCGTCGTAGTAATGCGATATTAGAAAAAAAGAACAATAAAAAAAAATTCTTAATTTCAATATCTGAAAAATAATTTTAATCTTTTAAGTCTTAAAATGTATACATTTTAAATAAAATAACTTTTTAAACTCTCTTTTAGCAATTTTAAGCTAAAGAGCTACCCAACAAAAATAAATAAATAAATGTTTATATTTGAAATTTTTGTTTACACAAATCAAAGCTGCAATTCTATTTCGAGAGCGGTCGGGAAGCTGCTCCATCAAAACATTAACTGCGAAACTCGGAATTCTGGCGCCAAAATTCCGGAAGTCGCGTGGTCTGACGTCACTTCTAATGACACTGAATCAAGACTCTACACTTGGAATAAGCGAAACATTGAGTTTAAAACTCACCTTGAACTCACAATAGTTTTATCTCTAAAATCATCCGATGTGATATCCTTTTATAGGAGGAAAAATTATATCTGATATTTGTCCATGTTTGATTTATTGTACATAGAATGAAAATTTATTTTAAAAAAGAACTTCATCTTATTTGCAGCAATTGCCTATAAGCTAAATTTGAAATTCTGTTTTCTGAGTTCGCGTGAATCTTCTATTGTAACTTTTAATAACTGATAATTCTAACCGAAACTATTTTTTTTTTTTCAAAATAATTGGAATGGTAAAGCTGTGAGTGTTCGAATGTTTTTTTTTTTTTTTTTTTTTTTTTTTTTTTTTTTTTTTTTTTTTTTTTTACATTTTACTAACAGTTTTTTTTTTCTGAGCAGCACATATTATTAGTTGTAAACAAAAATTTTAACCTTTTGCAATTCGATATCTTCTCTCACAGGACATAAAAAGTCACCACTTTTAAATTTAAAAATTTTTATATCTTATTATTTAATAATCGCTTTAATTTAATGATTATTGTTTAATCAAGGTTGTCAGTTTACTTCGCTTTATGAGCAAATTCCTTGTGGTAGCAAAATTATAGTTTAAATGTATAAAATTTCATTAAAAGTTTTTCTCTCCACTATGCATAAAAAATTTTAAAAGATTATATAAAATGCAACTTTTCTTTAAAATATTTTCAAGGTGTCTGGTGAAACACTGCAACTTTATAATTCAGTATCACTTAATAAAATTATTTTTAAAAAAAACGGGCTATTGGCATTCCAGGATAATTATATGAAACTACAGCGTGGTGTATTTTAAATGTTTTAGTGCTTTTATTTGTTAAGCAGTAGGATATTTGAAAACTCACTGTTTGCCTTTCCAATTTAATAATCTGAAAACAGAAATCCATAGCAAAGATTCTCTAACCGAAACTATTTTTTTTTAAAGTAATTGGAATAGTAAAGCTGTGAGTTTTCGAATGTTTTTTTTTTTCCTAACAGTTTTTTTTTTCTGAGCAGTACCATGGTCAAGGATCTGGAGAAAATTTCCTCCCCCTAACTTATAGATCTATGCCTAATTCTGGAAGTGGCCCTTGCGGTGCTTTCTTGTCCAACGAAAGGCGCACCTACCTGACTTCATTCGCAAAAGGTCAATGACCGACGAGGGCTTGTCCAAGTGTTATAAACCACATTGTTCATTGTTATAAGTACCAGTTTTAAAGTTTTCTCATGAGGCTTAATATTTTATAAATGACCAAAGCAGCAATCCATACTAGCATAAGCTTATTCAATTATGACCTGAGAACACAGGACAATAGCACGTCACAGATTCGACGAATCAGTTAGTGGTGCTTCGCGCCAAGCACTGAGCTACCCAAAATATCCAGCAAAGGAGTCATTCACTTTGTTTAACCCGTTTTATTCCGACACTATGTATATTGAAGTGATACAAAAAGTGATTTCATGTGAAAAGTGGTATGTCATGTGATATTAAACTAAATGGCTATCTTTCAATATTAGTCACATTACAAAAAATCTCTTCTCCATTTAGTTCTAGAACTATTCACAGAAACTTAAATCATTAATAAATCATATGAAAGAGAATCTTTTATATACCCAAGAGAAGCGACAAAATTGAAATAATTGCCTTCCACAATACATGTATTTGAAAAAAGAAACTTTTATAAGTTTGACGCTGGGTGATAACAGATTTAACATAGTGTGCTACCACTTACCTCATAAAAACACTTTTTGGATAATTCTAAAAATTACATAATTCGAAGCGACAATTCCTTTAAAGTTTCCTACTGATATCAATGTGAAAATCTGAAAGTTTTCCCAGAATTTTGGTTAATTCGAAATTTGAGGCACTTGAAATCAGAATATTATACTGCTTCCTAGCCAATTAAAAAAATTTCCTCTACTTTGGAAATCCAAGATTTTATAAGTAAAGTAAAATTCAGCCAACTTTCACTCAATTCAAGAAGTTCCAAACAGCGTCGGACTTTTGAAGCATCGAGTCGATGAGGTTATTAATGAGGGGATGGGGTGTTCTGTCCCACTCCTGCAGAAGAACTCTTTCCAGGTTTTGGAGAGTTTGTGGGAGTGGTACTACTAAAAAGGAGTGGTACTGTGGGAGTGGCAATTTGTCCGCATAGACTGTCCCAAACATGCTCCATTGGGTTCATGTCCAGGGAACACGCTGGCCGATCCATTCGTATTATTCCTTTCTCCAAAGGGAAATCATTCACTAAGTTAGCACGATGTAGCCTGCAATTGTCGTCCATTAACATGAAGTTATCCAATTGCTGCAGCTTGAGGGACTTCAATATGTCTCAGAATCTCATCCCTCTTTAGGCAACCGGTCTAAGCTCCATTTCGAATGATATGGAGATCGGTATACTCATCAATTAAAATGCCAGCATAGACCATCACTCCAGACCATAGATCAGAATATTACGTCATTCATTCTTCTTCCAGTTCACATGCTCTGCTGCCCACTCCCTGCTGGCGCGACGGTGCCTTGCTGTTTACGTGACGCACACCATTGGTAGGCTAGCATATAGACATACAATGTGAAGGCGGTTTCGGACAGTTTGTGTCGAAACTGTGGTGGCAGTAGCAAAGCGAAGGTGTTGAAGAAGAGTGGCATTCATATTTCGGTGTCTTTGAGCCGTTAGCGTTAATTAATGGCTTTCATTGGGCGTTGTTGAACGTCTACGTCCTTGCCCTGCATTTCCAGTCTCCAAAAAAACGGTTCCAGATCCTGGAAATCACAATTTGTGCAACTCCAATGACTTCTGCTACTTCAGCTTGTGTTTGGCCCCTACTAATCGGCCAACAACTCTCCAAGCTTCTGATTCGGTTAAATGACTTCGTTGAGGCATCGCACACATCGAAATAACGCGCTTACTAAATGTCAATCATTCTTTTTCGCTTTGTCTTACATTAAGTTGAAAGCCAAATCAAATTTGCTGCCGATAAAGCGTCGTCTCCGACGTCAAATTCAAAATTTGCATACTGCGAGGTTTG